TGCACAGTAAACTCTTGGAAACACGGGGCCTGAATGACGTTTGCACAAGGTATCTGCACCAGAGACAAGCAATGAACCCTGGTCCTTTTTAGCACCACCTAAACAGCTTTTCTTTTTGGTAAAGCTCCCTGCTCACTCTCCACCAAAGGAAACCCCAGATTTGTCCAGTGACCCACGAACCCAGGATTGCTGGCTCTTACCCTCATCTGTACATACCTACAGCTACATTTACAGCTACAGCACTACTGTTATCTCAGGAACCTTACAAAACTCACATCGGGGACATCCCATGAATCATCACATGAATCGTCAGGGACATGGGTGATTATGTTGTTCCATCCATTCTTGACAGAGGCACCTTCTTGAAGGAAATGCCTCACACTTTATTCTTTTTAATGGACAGTGTGGTACTGAAATGCTGAGACAGCACTGCTAACCACTACTGCCTGGAGTGAGGGGTCCAGCAGGGGACAAGCTTGGATGGAGCCAGAGAACAGGGACATTCGGGGGCTCAGAGACAGCAGGAAATTCCAGGGAGGAGAGTCTACACTACTGTGCAATTGAAAAGATGAACTATACAGGATGCATGGTGTTCCCTACCTTGCATTTCTGGGCAGCCTCGTCCAGCAGCAGCACGGTGTGAGAGCTGTGCTCCGGAGATCTCTCACACACCACGCACACGGCTTCCCTGTCCTCCTCACAGAACAGATCCAGGCTTTTCTTGTGTTTCACACATAGGTTCACCTCTGCTTCTTTGACACTGCTCAGGCTGGAGTCCCACTGTCTAACTTTTCCTACTATATTTGCCAGGTCCCAGTTGGGCCGGAAGTGTTTTTTCTGGATCTGGCCTCTGCAGATGGGACACTCCATGCGGTGAAGTTGCTCACAGCACTGAGAGATGCAGCTCCGGCAGAAGTTGTGTCCACACTCAACACTCACTGGGTCTGTGAAGTACTCCAGGCAGATGGGACACTTGGTTTCATCGTGGATCTCCCAGTCAGGAGTCAGTGAGGCCATAACTGCTGAGATCTCTGGGGTTCTTCTTATCTGATTTTTCTATGCCTTAGAGCCAGTAACGCAAAGACTCTTTCCATAACGTATCAGCTGTTTTCTGTCACATAGAAAATGAGCTCTGGTTATGCCGTTAGATGTGTTAGCCTAGAAAATGCACCCCAAGGCAAGGCAATTTTCAACCCCTCTGCCCTAGAGAGAGACTCCCCACCTCTTCCACTGCGTGGTAATCCATTGACTTGATGATTCTACAGTGTGTAGAGGGGACAGATGCAATGCTGCATGGGTAACTCTCTGCCAACCCACACAATCAAAGTGCAAAAGGCTTCACGCTAGCTCTGTCCCCCATAGCAAACCAAAAGGCTTCTACCCACTTATACTCACCCTACTCCAGGTGAATTGCACGTAGACAAGCCATTACTAAAGCAGAAATTCTAATTTCAGCTGGAAGGCCTGACTCCTTATTCCTGTGCCTAGAGGGTTAAAGTGTACTTACTGCCTGGGGAATGCAAACAGACAGTTGCCCACTGCCCAGTAGCCTACCTAAAGGTGGTGACAAAGGCACCAGCCCTGGATGCCAGTTTAGAGGGGGCACAAGAATGACAGCCACCCCTGCAGGCCTGCCTTGGGGTTTCAGCATGCTACATCCAGCCCCATATTGTGGTCTGTGCTTCATTCAGAGCCCTGGCAGTCTCTCTGAGCATGGGGTACTTGGCCCAGCTAAAATGCCATTTTTTCCCCTTTTTAATTTCGGGGCAGTTGAGATCATTGAGGTTCTAGCACAGCTGGCCCAGCTACCCAGGCCTCTAGTAGCCACTCACACACTTACTACTTAGCAGTTCCAGATGCCAAGATGTGCTGTTTCTTTTCTTAGAATTGAAAGCAATCCAGAAAGTGCATCGATAAAGAAATATTTCCAGTTTTATCTGGAGTCATAATCTTCTCTCTCTGTGCCCTTCTCTCCTGACTGCAACTTTGGTGATTCCCAGGAAATAAAACGACGTGACTCTCTCTGCAGCCAGCAAGAGCAAGTACAACAGTGACTAAATATCAC